CTGATGTATTCTCAAACACTATGGAAATAATATCATTTACCTGTGACAAACATTCATGTTCCCTCATACAATCTCATGGGATATATTTCCTTAAAAATTGTATTTAGGTTCGCTCAGGACATGGATTTCGGTCACCATCTTGTTACAATTTTGCGATACTCTATGAGAGCCGAATTAGTTATTCTCACTTGGGCACTAAATACGCCAAAATGATTTTCACTTTTTCCACTGACCTAGGTAAAATCCTCACTCTGGCAGACAGCTTAATGATCAGTTGACTGATTCAAAGTCTCCACGTCTTCAGTTTTTCAAACAGTACTGATTGAATTTGATGCAAATGGTCATTAGTCTCAATTTATGCTCATGCGTTTTATTGAATTGATGTGCGAATTTTAATTGAGAGTTGCTAAAATTTCGAACAAAAGTGTAATATATTCAACCTTTAAGCACCCTTCAAATGCAAGTACATCACATCCCAAGATACACCAGCAAAATGCAACTACTGGTTTCGTGCTAAAGAAGACATCAAATGAGATGGAAATTAATACTGAAACTATTGACAAAAGAGTTGACAGTCAGTGGTTGCCTTTGGATCTACAAATTGTTTTCTCCCAAGGCAGCAAATACACATCGCAAATATTTTTTTTGCTTGACTTCACAACTAGGGTTAATTATAGTACCGCAGTAAAATAAGTTTACTGAAAACTTTCAGATACCAAATAACAAATGCAAAATTCGCATATCGCCGTAATATTCAGCAAGGTTTTTAAACATACATCTACCAAGCAATTCATATTTGAAAATAAAAAGTGAACAAAATTTTAATCTGGTAGTAGAAATTAAATCTTTGCAACTACTTATTTTTCAGTCAACAAACTTTCTACTTTTAATTACTCTGTCATTTTCATTTTGTTTGTGCGGTTTAACACTGGCAAGTTGTCTAAAGATGGAAATCAGGTTGACTACAAAAGTGCCTTATCCATTCGACTCAAAAAAATGCATATATATATGCACAGAAGCACATGGTTGTATCTCGATTAAAGAATATCTCTTATTGCGGTTCAGAATTCTACTTGTGGAGAAGACGGACAGAATCTTGCTTGCTACGCTGATGATATCATATGTGGTGGCACAAGTTCCATCACAAGCAGACCGTTTTTGAGTTTCACACAAAAGTCCGTGAGCTTGTCAAACAGCGCGCTAAAAATATGCAATCGGTGTTAAGTAAATATTTGGCTTTCTAGATCCTATCGTAATTGTTTATGCAGTCATTAAGCAATAGGTATCTATGGTAATTATCAGGAAATCAGCATCCCACTTTCCAATGATCTGGTTTTTTAAAGCTTACCAATGAAAACGTTTTTTTTTGCGCTAAAAGCACAACAATTGATCCAGTTTTTGTTGTTTGCGACCTTCACATCGCTGCGTTACATTTGAATCCCTCTACGTGCAAAGATATTCCCTAGAATTAGAGAAACTAGCAACAGAGTGGGTTGCTTGTTGTAAATACGAGCACCCAGGTCCCAAATTCTACGCACAATACAACGGGGTCGGACAGAACCTTGCGATAGGGGCTGGGCATCAACTGACAGGCTGATGAAGTCGTCAACTATAACTTTCGTGATAACTAATGCAAACATTTTTGCGGAGATTATACGCAGATAATTGACTGTCTTCTTTTAACTGAGATTAAATATGTACACATTTCTTGATAGCACTTTCATAATTTTGTGCTTCCCTAAAATGAACTTCCTACGTCGCACATTTTCAAGATGGTCTGGGCTACGTCGACGGAAGTGGGCTGCGCAATTAATCGTTGTGATAACCTGTCACCTGCGATAAATAGTCCAGTTTATTTTCTGGCATGCCACTACAAGCCACGGTAAGTTCGATTGACATGGAGGTGCACAAAGTTTAGTCGCTACCATTGATTGCGTCTTTAATCACAAATCAGTACAATTCATACTACTTCTTTATTCAAATTCCTGCTACTTATTTGTTGTATTTAGGGAAATATTCCTGGAAAAGTGGGCAAATCCTGCGAAAAGTGTCCGCCTGGATCCACATGTCATCGCCGACAATGCGTAACAAAATAGACTTAATGACGCCAAATTC